GGCTTTGCAGCCTCTTGCTTAGAATGTCCATATCCGCTGATGGTCGGACAAACCCATGCCCACCCATGCCCTTCCATGCCGGTCAGAACGGCTCAGACGACTATAGTGACCAACGGAGGAGGTCTTTTAGGATTCACGACCTTACAATGGGCGATGCTGAACGCCGCCAAACATCGTGCTGGAACGGGCATACAACTTGGGTATATGGACTCAAAAAACAGTTTCTGCTCCTCGCAGGAAACCCCAGTGTTGGCCTCTCCCATAGGATGCCCATAGCAGCACTCCTCCGCACTGACGGATGGTTGGCGGTGCTGGGTGCCAAGATAGTCAGAACCCCAGGCACAAGGCACAAAGTTCCGAAGGGAACTTATTAGACACGCCAGGGTCCCATGGCTTTCATAAGGGTCCAAACCCCTAGGAGGGAAGTGGTATGCGATTACCTTGGAACTGGTTGGCAACAGAGCCGGTCGTCGACCACTTCAGGACATTAGACCCGAGATCCGCTAGCGCTGGCTCTATTACCCATATAGAGCGAGAGTCAACCAATGGTGCTCCAGATAAGCGGACAGAGAACACAGTACGCACAGATACCATCAATATACCTCCTACTACATCCACAGGGGATTTCACCACATCTAGGTGAAAGGCACTCAATCCTGGGGAAGACCACTTTCACGTAGTCAACCGACTTGTGTTCAGGACCTAAAGACACGTCAGGACGGTCTTCTTGCTTCCAGCTCGACCACCTTACCCAGTTTTCAGGGGACATCCTCTCCTTCCGAATCCAGTAGCTCGGAGCCCGGTGGGCCCTGATAAACTACCGAAAGAAGTAATGAATACAGGCGGAGAAGACGAGACACTCTCTTCTGGGAGAACCTCATTCAGATCACTCCAGTGAACTGAAAACTCGTCAACATCCACGTTCATCCGAGAACCGGCTGGAACCTCTTGTAGAAGACTATTCGCTCAGAGGATTCGTAGACTATTCCACAATTTGGGAATATTCGTACGACTCTCCGCGGCACCACCGCGACCCTGTATGTTGTATACCTAGACTTCCTGGTCCTATACTTCACAATACATTGATTGATAAAGAAGTACTAGATCGGCTGCTCCCTACTGCAGGTAACCACAGATTAGGCGGTCAGGTTTCCCATCCACCGTGATGGACCAACTCACGTTTATCAGACAACATGTAGGCTCCTTCGATCCCCTTCTTCTTCAAAGAAGATCAACTCATCTCCAGGTGGAGACACATCTCATAGGGGCCAACTGATTTGGATATTACCACTCGTCACAGTATAATTCGAGGCACGATGGTGATCGCGCTCCGTCTGACCGGACCTCCCCGGAGAATTTATGCTTCTCATGCTTACAAGGTCTACAGTAATTCTCGAGCAGGCGAGGATCTTCTCCTGCTACATTCACACAAACAATTCCACACTGAGCTGTAGGGTACTCACATCTTCTATCCCAGGAGGGTCGGCTTCCTGGGGACCTGGACCCGCTTTGGAGGTTTCTTGGCAGGTCAGCGGATGATCACAGGCTGCCGGGGACCTCTTGAGAATCTGGGAACCCAGGGATGCGACGACCCTACCCCTACATCTGGACATTCCCAGCCTGTCTGGTTCGGTCCTGCATCTTAATCCCTTATGTGAGGATGGAGACGGAACTGCAGCTGGTATCACTACCTGAGGACGCCCAAGGGACCAGGATCCTCAAGGATACCAACTACCCAATGTCATACGTCTCCAGCTTATGAGTTGTGGAGGTCGTTCTTCTTTCACTCTACGGGACTAAACATCCTGCTGACAATCGGGCAGACTTGGTCTTGTATAATTTCCCGTTAGATGGTGTATACGTGGGCGCTCAACAGGGAAGACCTCCCCACAACACCGAATACTGGGTCTCTCAGCACACCGTAGGACTCTTATTTAGTTCTAGACTCTTTTCTCAGCGTTAAAAATGCAAAATACGAAGCCTTCTGTCATGTGGTAAAATTGAAGATTATGCCAGCTTTAGAGTACTAATAATCTTAATTTTAATAATGACAGGAGGTGAGTATTTTCCCCCCCTGCTTCGCTGCCCACCCTTTCTATTCATTTGCAGATATCAGGTGCTAAGATAGGTTTGCCTCTCACATTGGTGCTTATATGATATGTTCGTACTTCCATCAATATGGAATCCTCATTAGAGTTCTCATTACAATTACTCAGTTATCAGATTATAGTTACTATATTCTCCAATGGGATGTTAGGTGGTACGTTAATTGGAGTTACATATTCGTGACTATGTCTAAATCTGTCACACATTCTCTTTTCAGTATGATTCGTCTCTGAAGACAACTGGCAGTTCACGTGAAACTATTGGAGATTTTACCCTTCGGATTTGTCTCAACCCTGAACTCTTTTTCGTTGTTCGTATAGAATTCTTTGGAAGTTTGCTCCTTCGCACATGGGAAGTTGGAGTTATTATTAGTTTTATTGTTTGCTATATATTTACTTCTGCATGTTGTCGCTTTCTGAAAGAGGAAATGATAAGGTCACATTGCCTTGTGTACATCTTTCTCTCTTGTGATTGGTTCTTTTTTCTATGTATTTCTTTACTGCTGTATGGAGTTAGTAAAGAGAGATATGCAAAATACACGCCTCCTGTCATTATTAAAATTAAGATTATTAGTACTCTAAAGCTAGCATAATCTTCAATTGATTTGCATGTCAATGAGTGAAATAAGTATTTGACCCCATTCGACTTAGTACTTGGTGGCAAAACCCTTGTTGGCAATCACAGAGGTCAGATGTTTCTTGTAGTTGGCCACCAGGTTTGCACACATCTCAGGAGGGATATTGTCCCACTCCTCTTTGCAGATCCTCTCCAAGTCATTAAGGTTTCGAGGCTGATGTTTGGCAACTTGAGCCTTCAACTCCCTCCACAGATTTTCTATGGGATTAAGGTATGCAGACTGGCTAGGCCACTGCAAGAACCAAATGTGCTTCTTCTTGAGCCACTCCTTTGTTGCCTTGGCTGTGTTTTGGGTCATTGTCATGCTGGAATACCCACCCACAACCCATTTTCAATGCCCTGGCTGAGGGAAGGAGGTTCTCACCCAAGATTTGACAATACATGGCCCTGTCCATCGTCCCTTTGATGCAGTGCAGTTGTCCTGTCAACTTAGCAGAAAAACACCCCCAAACCATAATGTTTCCACCTCTATGTTTGACAGTGGGGATGGTGTTCTTTGAGTCATAGGCAGCATTCCTCCTACTCTAAAAACATGGCAAGTTGAGATAATGCCGAAGAGCTTGATTTTGGTCTCATCTGATTACAACACTTTCACCCAGTTCTCTTCTGAACCATTCAGATGTTCATTAGAAAACTTCAGACAGGCCTGGACATGGGCTTTCGTGAGCATTGCGACCTTGAGGGTGCTGCAGGATTTCTGTCCTTCACAGCGTAGTGTGTTACCAATTGTTTTCTTGGTGACTGTGACAAACTGCCATTTGCCACTGGGCATTGGAGAGAACTGGTTGCCCGTCTGCTGCCTTTAGACTATGGCCCCATGTTAAAACACTTGATATTCCCCTGCAAAGACATGAAAGCCGGGTCATTTGGTACTTGCCCTATTTGAACAGTGAAACCCCAGATAGCTATGCCATGGAGCCCATTCGTATAACGAAAGACTATGTGAAAGTCTTTGGCTCCATGGCAATTGAACTGTATGTATGTGATCTGAGCGCCATTCAGTAATAATGTGCGCTCAGATCTAAGCTATCTGGGGATATGTTAAATGTACCTGTTTTTTTATTTATTCTTTATTTTATCAGTGTTTGAGTTTAACATTCTGGCTTGCTCTTCTCCAATGGCAGATGCCAGCCGTTTTTCATACTTAGCATAACATTTTGTGGACAAGTTAAGCAGTGCATATCATACATGTACAAGTTGAAAATAGTTAACTACTGGTGACATGTTCCGTTATGCATTGTGTTACACGCACACAATTTTTATTACCAGGTTTGTTTGTCAGTATTGTTAGTCCCACATGCCAGCCCCGGTGTCTGGAGCTTAGTTTTCCATGACAGTCGTCGTGTATATGGTGTTGAGTCGGTGGTTCTATGATGTGTGGTGGCCGTGAGTCGATGAGCGGTATTTCCATATAGTTGGCTCGATTCTAGCCTTCATTATTCTGTGCAGATGTGTAGGGTCAGGTTTGGTGTCATTATTTACCCGCTTTGTGGGCCATGTTTTGGTGAGTGTGCCTTGCGGGCTGTTAGGCGGGTGGTTTAGTAGGTGCAAGGCCCCTAACCTAGGGAGTCTACGGGGGAGGGAGGTATTGACGCCATGTGTTGTATGGGTCCACTTAATGCCCTAGTAGGGGTGGATGTTTGGTCGTCGGACATTAGGGTTTGTGTGTGTGAACTTCTTCTGTCATTCCCCTGTGGGCAGTTAGGGTAGGTGTCCCTTTGTGTGGAGCAGTTGGGGGGGGGTATTATTGTAAAAATAGAGGTACCAGGAAAATAACATTAAAAGATAGTAACATTTAAAGAAAGAAAGATCAACTCGAGCCAGTCCAGGAATTCGTTGTCAAGAATCCCAACTGTGTCCATAAGGCATGGGCTCCTGCAGCCGTCAGCGTGGCGATATGCCTGTGCTCAGCTTGGTATCCTACGGGTCTGGTGACAGTGTTGCTCTGGAATGCAGGATGAAAGGTGTTGCTGTGGTCGAGTCCCAGGTGCTTGTAGGCAGTCCCAGAGTTGTTGTCACAGTAGGTAGTCCCAGTTTGTGAAGGAACGACCTAGCTTCGTCCATGGCTTGTAGGACATGTGTGATATCACCCTGCAGGCTGCTGCTGGGGGCAAGATAGTTGCGAGGAGGCATCTAACGTAGTGGGGTAATTCTTTGGTTTTGTTGCAGTTGGAGGACCGTGTCCCGCACCACGTTGATCTTGGTGTGTGCCTCTGTTACACCGTCTTCAACCACTCCCACTTTCTCTCTAACCTCTTTTAGCTCAGTTTTAGCTTTGCAGAGTCAGCCTCCAGCAGTTTATGGATATTGGTTAGAAGAATTTTCAGATCTCCCTTTGTGGTCGGAGTGGAGTCCGATGCGTCCTCGGTTAAAGACATTGTTATCCGAGAGGCCGGTGCTGCCTCCGCCTTCTGTCTCTGCGGCTTGGCTTTGGCCTCACTCTGGAGTTCCTCCGATGATATAGGGGATTTGTGTTGTGGCGGCCGCTGGAGCATGGTCCCGATATCTCTGGCCCATAGACAGTTTGTGTGTTGGCAACTCTGCAAACTGGGTGTCCTGCGAAGTTTTCTCCACAGGAGTGCCTCGAGGTACGTGGTTGTCAGCGGGCGGTAGGCCTCAACTCGGCGGCACCGCTTTTGTTACTTTTGCGGCTGGAAAAAAGGCATCGGCCGGTTCAGCCCCACTAGCTGGTTCAGTGTCTTTGAGTTTTAGAGTCGGATCGATATTATTTTAGTCATTATCAGGCGGATTAAGGGTTGCTCAAGGAGAGCTCAGGGATATGGCGTCTGTTCAAGTTTGAGTTCAAGCTCCGCCCCCGAATGTACCTGTTTCATGCAATAGCTGCACAGTTATCTATTTTTATGTATTTTATTGTCTTTTGCTACCATGTGTTCAATGGAGTTTTGCCTCTGTCCTTGGAGATAATTGGATTACTTCCCAATTATCTCCAGGATAGAAGACTCTGTGGAACTGGTTTTGGGCAGAAAAGCCATGCTTTATTTGGTCACAAAGGTCTTCAATTTATATTTTGGAATCCTACTGCACTGATTTTTATGATTTTTGAGTATATTTATATTTAAATGACGCTGATTTCAAATATGTAACTTTTATTGATATTGCATGTGTACTTTTAAAGTTATTAATGTTGTGTAAAAAACGTATATTTTCTGCCTGTGATAATGAGGTTAGTCCTTTGTTAAGATAATTGTATCACAGGCAGAGGGGAGGATTTCTGCTGGGAGTGGTTTACTTTATTGTATGTGTTGTAATGTGTTTATTGGTTGTTCTGCAAAAACCTGTGGGTGGTCCTATGTATGGAAAACCTGCATAAAAGAAGGCCAAGTAAAACAGATCTTCTTGACCCTCAACACGTATTCTTGTCTGTTGATTGGAGGGAACTGCTATATCACACTGGGGATTGCTATGCTCAGCATACTCCCTTGAGCTTTAATCACTTAGCTCTTTTAAGAGCTTGTTCCTGATTCATTCTCCTGGAGGAGAGGTCTTTCCCACATGGTCCAGGAGGACAGAAGCTGATCCAGGGTGGAAGGAAGACGGCGAGACTCCAGTTAAGCTATGATGGTTGTGGAGTCTGCGGTGGTTGTGGTGTCCGATGCGGTGCTTGTGGTCCTCGGCGCAAGCTAAAAAGCATCCATCAACGGAAGGTACTCGGTCGGAGTACGGAAGCGTCCGTTACAGTGACTATGGTCCCAGCTGCCTTAAAATCCTTGAGATTAACAAGATCCTGGGCTGATTCCTCACTGTTCTCATGATCATTGAAACTCCACGAGTTGAGATCTTGCATGGAGCACTAGACCAAGGGAGACTGACAGTTATTTTGTGTTTCTTCCATTCGCGAATAATCGCATCAACCATTGTCACCTTCTCACCAAGCTGCTTGCTGATGGTCTTGTAGCCCATTCCAGCCTTGTGTAGGTCTACAATCTTGTCCCTGACATCCTTAGACAGCTCTTTGGTCTTGGCCATGGTGGAGAGTTTGGAATCTGATTGATTGATTGATTGATTGCTTCTGTGGACAGGTGTCTTTTATACAGCTAACAAGCTGAGATTAGGAACACTCCCTTTCATATAGTGCTCCTAATCTCAGGTAGTTACCTGTACAAAAGGCACCTAGGATCCAGAAATATTGCTGATTGATAGAGGAGCAAATACTTATTTTACTCATTGACAAGCAAATCATTATTCTGTCTTTCACTTTTAAAATACACCTACCATTAAAATTATAGACTGATCATTTCTTTGTCAGTGGGCAAACGTTCAAAATCAGCAGGGGTTCAAATACTTTTTTCCCTCATTGTAATATAATTCAGCCTACAGTATTTGCTTCTGAAAATTATGATGATTTGTTCGAAGCTGATTCACAGGTACAGGAATGTTACCAAGAGGACATATCACCAGCTTTCCCAGACCAGCTTCTGAGCTTCCGTTCAACATTTCAGGAAGAGATTCGGACAAGCTGCACGCCGGCGTTCATTTTAATGGGATACGTAAGTTTTTCTTACTTTGCTCCATTACTCTTCCCTGTGTGAAGAATGAAGGGGAACGGTCAAACAGGTAACCCACCTGGGCCTTTTTGGGATTTATTTATTCTTGAGTAGAGACAGGTGGCCCTGAAAAATCCTTGTACCTCGGAATTTGGTAACAGTCCCTCCGAAACCTACTAGTTACTATATAACTGACCGTGTAAAGTTTAGCTCTGAATTTTGTGGGCTCTCTCTCCAAAATCCTACAATTATCACACTAACAGCTCTCCACCAACCCCCCTAATTACTACCCAAGAAATAAATCAACTAAAGGTGAAAGTGAAACATGACTACCATGAAAACCCAAAATAACAAAAAACACACAAATGCCCAAGGTGTTTCAGTGCAATCACTACATCTTTAACCAGGGCTTTTCAATTTTTATCTCAAGTGGGCCCATTGTTCCAGAATGTTGTTTTCATTAATTCTTTCTATCCAGAGGCCTCTCTTATGACACCTCATCTCATACAATCTTCCCATCCTTCCCCTGACAGTTTACATATTTTATGTTTGGCTGGGATAGAGAGACTCCATCTTGTTCTCTAATGCTGAATGTAGGTGCTTTCCTCCTGTTATGTATTGTGGTCACTCAAACATTTTATGGACATGACGTCTGAGCTTTAAGGCAATAAGGAAGAATGTTGATTTCAGAGCAACATCTTCTAGCTATTAGACACGTCTATCAAACAGATATTACAAATATAATTTTTTTAATACAACACAACTTCCTTATTTTAAATAACATCTTATTTTTTAAGTAACCTCCAGTAATCAAGCTTATTAAAGATGTTCCTTAGCCATTACAGTGTCAAACTCTTCACACTAACACTTGTTAAAGGGATACTACTAGCACTATAGTCATTTTAGCTCATTGATATGGTTTTAATGCCTGGACTACCTGAAGTCCCTAGTGCTGTCCCTCCACTCAGTACTGCCTGTAACATCTCACCACAAAAACAGTGCAGTAAAAGGTTTCCTGATTCCATACGGTCTCCCCCAAATCATCTAACATTTCTATATAATTGATCGAGGGTTAGCACACTCCATATTTACCAACCTATTGACCTATCAACCTTAATTAAATCACCCACAGAAATGTAATTTAATTCCCATTTCCTATCTGAAATATCTGTTTGTGTTTCATCGTCACAGACAAATACTTTGTTATGTATGGATGTTGTCGTCGTTTAGAAAGTTTGGGTGACAAAACATATTGCTGTCATAGAAGTAGCGAATTCATTTAAACAATTCACATAATGAGCAATTACTTTCTCCACCCATAATGTTTCATCAGCAGATTTAACAAGTCATGTTCGCCCAGTGGGATTAGGTTAATTAGGATAAATTTCCTATAAAATCATACAGCGCTGGGAGAGTACTGAAAAAAGCAAGGAACATGAGAAATTGCAGCAAATCATTGACTTTTAATCTGTAAGTAAAGTTTTGATGAAGTGATGAAGTTTTGCTCTGTTACATATTATATAGCTATCAATGTTAAATGAGGCTAACAAAGCACAGAAAGCAATGGTTTAGAAAATAAATAATCTAGAATCTTAATTATCTTTGTTCTCAGCACTTACAAAGTGAGGTTCCCATTCTATTGCTCCAGGGGGTCAAGGTATGAGACTGGCACTAAAGCCTCAATTTAATATTTTTGGATAAACCTTTCAAATAATGTATTATTTTGAAAAATATGTTAATATTAATGTATTTGCATATATGATTTTTTTTATATATATTTTAATGTTTTAAAAAATATATTTTAATAGTTTATCTAAAAATATTAACTCCCTTGAAAGCTTATCCAAAAATATTAAATCGAGCCCTAAGTGCATAGCACATTTTTATTTCAAACATAAAAACAGCAAGACACTTGTCACATGACATGTGAATTCCATTATTATCATTTTATAGTTAGATTTTATTTATAAAGTCAGATATACAGTATATTCAGTGACATAGAAATGACTGCACTGATTCATAAAGACTGGATTCTGCTATTGTAATACAGTATGTTACCATTTACAAAGTGTGATAACTCGGTCATCATATCTGGACAGATAATGTAAATATTGGCAACGTTTACACACTGTCTTTCTCAAACCAAGTGGCCTGAGAAAGACTATTCATGTGTTGAAACGTTGCCAATTCATGTTCCATAGCTGAAACAAATCATGATTCCACATTGCCTGTTATTATATGAAAATGGTTTGACAAAGTGGAAGGACTGCACCATAGCCACTACAATAAGCTTTTACAACATAATAAACTACAGTGGTTATGGTGCTTGATAAATCAAACTGTGTACTTTAGCTTCATAATAGAACTACTGGATAGAACAGAATGTTATCAATCATTTTATTGTTATTATCAGGCAAATCAGTTCCAGAGAATGAGTAACTTATGTTCCCATCCCATGCCAAGGAATGACGTACAAAATGAAAAAAAATACCTCAACAATTCAATACCCCAACACCTTCAGCCGTTCTGTTACTCCTTAATAATCAGGGCCAATGGTGATTGGGGGATTTAAATATAAAAATAAAGAGTGAATTATCAACAGACTGTCCATGTAAGAAATATGACCTCATACAAAGTATCACATTAACATTCCAAATCAAATCATGTATCATTTCCAACTTTTGTTTTTTTTATCTCTGCAGTAATGTCCTCCAATTGACAGATGGGTTATTAGATTACCACGAGCCTCTTCACAGAGATTGAAATCCGTGTATGCGGTTATCACTGCTGTTCATTGATGCTGCTTCTACAGGTATATTGTCTAGTTTCCATCATACGGATCAGAAGTCAGTAAGGCTGTGTCGTATTTTCTAAAAATAAGTGCTAAGCTTGTTATGCCTGAATAGCTCTCGCTATGTAATATTAAACATGTAATAAATATTATGAGTTACATCTTGTTATTCATGTGTCTTTTTCCTCATTCTGTAACT